CCCCTCTTTCCCCTCCCCCCCCCCCCCCCCCCCTCCTCCTGCCAATTCCCCGGGGAATGTATTTCAAAATCAGATTTCAAACTCAAAAAGTGTCCAAAATAAATTAAAAGTTCTAGTGCAAAAAAACCCTACAACGTGACTTACACCTTCAAGAATTTGGTTGCTCTCTCTCTTTTGATTACTCTTGCTAGCATGAAGGAACTTGACAGGGGCAAAGAGCAGGACTAGAGTAGAAAGTGAGAACAAGACTTGTCACTGTAAAGACAAGCCATTCATTTCCCTCTTGGAACGCCAGGAGAGTCCCTGCTTCTCTTCTCTTCCCTTCACCCTCTTTATTTTCACAGCTGTTGGGGAAATGGTTCTACATAGCTGGGGCCTCACAGTCCCCCATTCACCTGCTGGAAATGGTGCTGATTGATAATGCTTATCTTGATGTGAACCCTACTGGGCAGGAGCAGGAGTTACTCATCAACCAGCATGTCACAGCGTAAGACTGTTCGTTCTTCAATGCCTCCCTTTCTTCCCTCTGTCCATCTATGCCTCAATCTTATTTTCAGAGCATAATTTCCCCCCTTACTCCATAGATTTTTCAGCATAATGTTTCAATTAACATCGTCTGAACAAAGAAGGTACAAGGGGATTTTTTTAGAAGTTTCTCTTTGTAATTTTTTCCAGTGATCTCTCTCACCCCTCACTCAATCATGTCTGCCCAAGCCTCCTACAAACAGGACCCATGTTTAATCATTCCCGGCCTACCATGCTAATTCTATTGGAGGGAAGTGATATGGTCTGTGTTTTACATCCAGTCAAACTAAATTATCAAAATGGTCCTTTTCTAGCCTTGGCATCTATTGATTTTTCCCTTCATTTTACTGACCTCCCTCATCATCCTTGCAGTCAGATTAGAGTTTCTCTTGCTCCCCTAATCAGTTCCTCACTAGGCTCCCTGTATCCATATTAATGTACCAGACTGGCCCCTGCAACACAAAGGCTACCTGCTTATGCTGTATATTCTACACCAGTGGTCTCCATCCTTTCTAACCGCAAGATCACTTTTTCTCTTTAAGTGCCTACCTCAAACCCAAATACTCTTGCCCAGCTTCCTTCTCCGCCCCTGCTCCATCCCTTTGCCAAGGCCTCACGCTATCCACTTTCCTCCCCGAATCTCGTTCACTTTCACCAGGCTGGGTACAGGCTCTGGTCTTGGGCCAAGGGGTTTGGAGTGTGGGAGGGGACACCCTGAAGGTAGGGAGGTGGGCTAGGTTCTGGAGCGGATTAGGGGATACAGAATTTGCCTGGGTGGTGCAGGGTTGGAGACTTGAGGCCTGCCCTGGGGCTATATCTACGCTACAAGGGTTTTGCGCAAAAACCCACAGAGCGTCCACACCTCAAGCACATTTTTGCGCTAGAAAATCTGGTCAATCGACAGAACAGAGGGCTTTCTGCAGTGGAGGTATACCTCCTTCTATGAAGCATAACTCTTTTTTGCTCTTGTGCAAAAAGGTATGTGTGGACTCTCCACAGGGGTTTCTTGTGCAAAAAGAGCCTATCCAAAAAAGCACAGGTGCTCTGATGGCCATTCACAGAATGGAATCACAGAACGGAATTGCACAAAAGCACATCACTTTTGTGATGCGCTTTAAGGTCTGGATGCACTTTTGCACAAGAAGTTTTTGCGCAAGAACTCTTCTGCAAAAGCCTTCTTGTGCAAAAACCCTGCAGTGCAGACAAAGGCTGGGAGTGGCCAGACAGGCAACACAGGCTGCCCAAGGGATGGAGCTGGCTCCCACATTAGGGAAAGCAGGATAAGGGACCTGCTGGAGAGAGGGTAGAGGAGTGGATTCTGGAGTGGCTTAGCAGAAAGGGCATTAGTATCTGGAGCACGGGGTGGTGCACTCAAGTCCCCGCCAGCCCCCACTCCACCCATTCAGGCAGCGGTCTGGCAGCCAACACCAGCTGCCCCAGGGATGGAGCTGGCGCCTGCATTAGGGAGGCAGGGTAAGGGATGCCCTGAAGGTCGGGAGCTGGGTTCTGGAGTGGAGTAGCGGATCAGGCATTCACCAGGAGAGTGCAGGGTGGTGGGCTTGAGCCCAACCCACCCTGGGAGCAGTCAGATAGCCAACAAGAGGTTGCTGTAGGGAGGTGGCTTAGGGGATAGGGTATTCACCTGCAGAGTAGGGGGGTCCCCCCCTGGCAGCTCAAGTCCCACCTCCGCCCTGGGAGCAGCCAACACAGGATGAGGGACCCTCTAAAGGTATGGAGGTGGGGTGGGTTCTGGAGTGGATCAGGGGATATGGCATTCACCTGGGGAACATAGGGTGGTGTGGTGAGCTTGAGTCCCACCAACCCTGGCAGTGGCCAGACAGCCAACACCAGCTACCCCAGGGATGAACCTGGCTCCAGCATTAGGAAAAGAGGGACCCCTGTCCTGCGACCCAGGACAGCATGTGTTTGTGAGAATGACAGAGATTTGCATTGCCAAGCTCCCTCCATCCCCTTCTCTGTGTGGAGATGGGGTACAGAAGTGGAGGGAGGAGGAACACCCTGACATCAGCGCCCCCCTCTTCTCCCTTGCACAGGAAGCTCCCAAAGGGCAGCTCGAGGGCAGGAGCAGCATGACAGTGGGTGGAGGGGTAACTGAAGTGCCAGCACGTGATAGCTTCCCGGCCAAATCAGTCAGGATCACCTGTCAGAGGCTCCAAGATCTGTTGGTGACCACTGTTCCAGACCATGAATGTGAAAACTGACCTATGAGCAATGGGCTGTACCATGAGCCAGGCATTGCAGCCTGCCTCAACCTCTGCAGAGGGATTCAAAGCATCAGGTTCTAGTATGAACCTGGCAGGACTTCATCTTAGTACAAGCAACTGGGCAGGGCTGGGCATTCTGACCTGTGAATAGATAGAAGCCATCAGTCGGGCATGCAATTCTCTTGTAGACAGAGGAGAAGGAAGCTGGGCATATCGTGGGTGTACTATAGTACTATAGACAAGCTGCTGGACTCAGTGCAGGGGTAACTAGGCAAAATTCTATTACTTGTGTTACACGGGGGTAAGACTAGGGAATCTAATAATGGTGCCTTCAGTCCTTACAAAAACTGTGTCCCTCTTAACATGCAACAATAGAACTGCCTCCAAGTGTTTCAAGACAGTAGAATCCTTCCACCCACCTCTCTAGTTATTTCCTGTTTACCCTCTCTCTTTTTAGGGGGAACAAATGTTTCTCAAGCAACTCAACTTACTTTGAAGTCTCTCTCAATAATGCGACACTAATTAAGTCTGGTAAGACTCTGATGCCGGGAGAGAAGCAGAGCGCGTAGAAGCATCATTAACAAAACACAGAGTGAATGGCAGAGAGGGTCAGGAGGTTATATATTTGTTACTTGAATGCGTCCTATTTTCCACTGCAGAGTTTGTTCATTTGAAGCCTCAGTACAGGGAGGAATCAGAAAACTGAACCCACTGGGAACCTGAGGGCCCTTGGAATGAGCCCTCCTCATTGGGGCAGTTCTTTGCACCATTCTTGGAGTGGTTCTTAGTCTGTAAAGCTATATCATGAGCCCATGAAACAACAATTTACAGGAGACAAAGCCCAGACCTGTCCTCTCACGCACTAGACAGACTAACCCATGGTAAGGCAGTTCTAAAATCTCTCACTCTTGGAACAGAGAAAAAAAAATGTACAGCTTATTCAAGGGAGAGGGGTTTTTTTAAACCCTCTAAATATTAACTCCCATTCATTGGAGAATGGGCTGTATTATGGGGGTAGGGTACATTCTGAAGTAATTGGCACTGGTCAGTAATGAACCCGTACCAGGTTATAGACCAATGGGGCAATTTCTATGTTATTACAAAATTATGGCAAAAAACAAAAAGCCCTTCCCCCGCACAAAGCCCAGGCCATACAATGACAGAATGAAAAGGGGTCCAGTCCATGGGAGGCAGAACAGTGCCTTTTCCTGACTACAACGTTGGAGCAGCTTCAATACACCATGAGCCGATCTGCACATTCCAATTCCTACACATGTGTGGCTCATCTCTCATCCCCAAGCCTGCAAGGGCCCTGCATAGACACGCCATGCATTGAATAGTGGGCAATACAAGCCACAAGCAGCAGAGAGAAGCATAAGACACATCCCTTCCTCAGCAGG